GGAGGCTGAACCCTCAACAGTCTGTAGAATCCCCTCACTGATTACACTGTAAGTGATAATCCACCTTAACCAAAATCAAAGTAGACTATCACTCATATATATATATATATATATATATATATATTCTTCTGGCCAATTCATGCTTTCGCAGAAGATAGCACTATATTTTCCTGTTGTTAAGGGACACTCTGTTCGTATTTGCTTTTCGGCCTGCAGGTATCAGGTAATTGAGAATTATCTTACGTCACCCACCTGGTTCCGTTAACTTCCGCGGGGATTCCAGCTCCGTACTGTATTTCAACAGCTCATGGGTGTGCCAATTGAGCTCGGTCCGTTGTTTTTTGGGGGGAGTAACATCTGCGCAGTCACGAAAACAGTTTGAAAATGCGCTTCAGGCAATCCTGCGAACACAACCAAACCTTTGTTCTTAGTTCTTAGGTGCACACTGCACTGAGTCTCTCATTGTTTCTGGAAAAACGTTCTTAGTTCTTAGGTGCACTCCAATTGTTTCCTCCCCTTATGAGCATTTGATGGGACGGTGTCCTCCATCTCAGAGTCTGTCTAGGCTTGAACGTAACCAAAGCTAAGTCGACCAACCGAAAAATGCATTGTGCTCAACCTAAAAGTGACGGTACAGGGCCTACAGGCCTTCCTAAAATGGAGGTGGTACAAATGGAAAGTCTGGACCCTACCCACCAGGCGCAATAAAAAAAACAGGCATTTTTTATGTTTCCACTTTATTGCGGTCGTCCCCCTCCTATACAGTAATGCCTTGTCCCGACTCCTACTACTACTACTACTGCTGCTGCTGCTGCTGCTGCTACCCGCGCCACCACCACCAGCACTACTACTACCACTACTACTACTACTACTACTACTACTACTACTACTACTACTACTACTACTATTACTACGGCTACTACTACCGGCAACACTACCAGCAGCACTACTACTACTACTACCACTACTACCACCACCACCGCCTTCTGCCTTGTCCCGCCTTTCCAGTTCTACCACACCTATTACTACCATCACTACTACTACTATTACTACTATTACTACCATCACTACTACTACTACTATTACTACTATTACTACTATTACTACCATCACTACTACTATTACTACTATCACTACCACTACTCCTACCACTCCTATTACTACCATCACTACTACTACTATTACTACTACTACTACTACTACTGCTACAAGTGCTACCACTACTACTCCTACTCCTCCTCCTACTACTACTACTACTACTACTACTACTACAACTACTGCTACTACCACTACTACTGCCACCATCACCACCACCACCACCACCTTCTGCCTTGTCCCGCCTTTCCAGTTCTACCACTCCTACTACTGCCACTACTACTACTACTACCACTACTACCACTATTAATACATTTTTATATTTTACTTTTATCAATTGGATTTATTGTACTATTCCTGTTGATTATTTAGACTGACGTAGATATTGCTATCTTACTCTGATACGGGGACCCAAACGCCCGAACGTTCGGGGGTCAGCTTCGGGGCCTCCGTACGTTCGGTGTGGCAACCCTGTATATATATATATATATATACAAGGTAACCGACGTTCGGCTGTTCGGGCCAAACACGGACGAAAAAAGAAAAAAGAAAAAGAAAAAAAAAACAATTTTATAAACTCTAAAAAAAAAGATATGTTATGAAGAGAAATAAAATAAACAACATTTGCCTGAGCATTACATCCAATTTCCTTACCAAATTTGAAATAAAAATAGAATACAAAAAATAAAACTAATAATAAAAATTAAAAAAAATCAAAAATAAAATAAAATTAGTGAGTGAGCGAGCGCGTTTTCGACACCGCCATCTTTGGCAATTTTTCTTTTTTTTTGGGTCATAGCCCAATGCCCTGAAAATTTACAGATGTGTACGTCACATAATACAAAACGCATTAAAAAAGTTTCAAAAAAGAATAAAATTGTGTAGGTCCTGCAAGAAAATAAAAACAAAAGTAAAAAGTGAAAAGAAACAAAATAGTAAGTGGGCACCATCTTTGGCGATTTTTTATTTTTGTTTGGCTAAGCAAAATGACTTTAAAATTTATAGTCTTGTAGCTCACATCATAGAGAACGCACAGAAACAAAATCAGAAAAAAGAACTTATTTTTAGGCCCCAAAATAAATTTTGGCTGCGCCGAACACCGTTCGGTTCGGACCCCGAACAGGACCTCGGACGCCCGTATGTACAGAGGTCGGCCCGGGGATCTTCGTACGTACGGGACGGTCACCCTGTATATATATATATATATATACTAGGCTACCAGAGTAGCCTTGGGTCACTTGCCCAACCGGGCCACAAAAATTAAAAATAAAAAACATATTTGTAATTTTTTATTTTTTTTTTGAAGAATGTCAATATAACCTTGAGGCAAAAGGTGTCCAGTTTAGTTTTTTGCTTTTTTTTTTTTTTTTTTGCTGGGACCTTTCTTTGTCCTTGCACGGGCTGGCCACCCGGGACCCGGGCGGCCTGGCTGGTAGCCTAGTATATATATAAATATATATATAACATATATAATATAATTACATATAAATTGATATAATTTATATTGAACTAACATTTTTTTGTTTGCTTCAATTAGAGAATAGATGAAACTACTACGAACTAGTAAGACAAAAAACCTACGTTGCATAAAGTACACGTACGGGGGCTTCCCGTACAAAACGTACATGTTATTTCTGTACGGGATCTGTACGGGAACCTGTACGGGAACCTGTACGTCTAGTACGCCCCCGTACGAAAAAGCAAAAAAAAAAAAAAAAAAAAAA